ATTTTATTTTATGTTTCGCTTCATTATTTTATCGTTCATAGTGTTCTATATTTTATTTTACTTTTCCTTCGCTGTTTATACTTACATATTGATATTTAACACTATTTTGTGTTATTCTGTGTTATTTGTTTCATTTATTTATTTTATTTATTTATTATAGTACAGTGGGGTAGTGTGCCTTGATAATTTATGCAACTTGCGTTACATTCATTATTTGTCTTATTTATTTTATTACCGTAATTTTATTTTATCTCATTGTTGTCTTTTATTTATTTATTTATTCGCAACGGTATAATTGTGTGATTAATAAACCTGCGCAATTTACGTCCCTTTGCGTGATTTAATTGTTCAATTTATTTATCGTCTCATCGTATTTACCGTTCTATTTGGTTCTATATATATTAATATCAGTGGTTAATATCGCTTTTTCATGTGTTAATGGTTTACGCGGTTTACATTGCTGTCTCGTCTTATTATTTCATTACCCATCGTATTCTATTTTATTTATTTTATTTACCATCTACATTCATATTTCATATCTCATGGTTCATGTTATTTAATATCTTTCGCGTCATTACGGGTATTGCATTTATTTATTTCCTTTATTTTGTGATTCAGTGCGTAGTCCTCTTGTCATCCGGTTGTTCGGCTTATTGTTTGGTTTATTTATTTTATTTTATTATATTTGTCATTTTCATCGATTTATATCCGTGGTGCAACGTATTTAACGTGTTTATTGGTTACGTGGTTACGTGGTTTACTTTTCTTGTTCTTTCGATTCTGATATTCGATTATCTCATTCATAGTATTCATCGTATTTATTCATTTATTCCTTTATTTCTTTCTTATATCGTGGCTTACATATTTCATTTTGGACGATGCAGCAGTGACATGTGCTGAAATAAATTGAATTGATTAATAAATAAATAAATTGGACAATCCGGGTTGTGTTTTTAATTGTTCCTCTTGTTCCAGTTCCAGTTTTGTTTTGTTTTAGTTTATTTCAGGTTTAGTGTGTTTGTTTTAATGATGTGATGCGATGAGGGATTGCTTTTGTGCTTTTGGTGTAAATAGTTTTATGTAGTTTATTTGTTGCGTGGTGGGTGCTCATTTACTTTCCTTTCCTTTACTTACTTACTTATAATATTGTATTACATTCACGCTTTCTTGCTTTCATTCACGCCTTCTTTCACTCACGTTACCTTCCTTACCTTCTTTATTTTTCTAAATCTTGCATTTCCTTAATCTTCCCATTCATTCAGTCATTATTCATTAACTCATTCATTCATTCTGATCAATTAAAGTTAAATTAATGGATATGATATGATTTATTTTACTTTAGTTTATTTCTATGATGATGAGTGGTTTGTCCATTCAAATGCTTTGATGGTGCAGGGTTTGTTATAATCTTATCATTTAAGTATCCTTATTTACTTATTTACTTATTTATCTATTTATTGTTAGTCTATACACTGGTATGGTGTTTATCGAACTACGCAGTTTACATTTGATTTGATTTGATTTCGTGGTCACTTTAGTTACTTTATTTTGATACGTCATTCAATAACCAGCTCTATTTGCATTTGCATTGACATAATCATTTATCATTTACCATTTACCATTAATAATTTGGTTTATAATCTACTTTGGTGAGGAAATAGATTGTTGTAGCTAATAATCTTTACGGTTATATTTCATTGAGTTCACTTCTGGTACTTTGTATTCTATTTTAGTATATTTCATTTTGTTTTACATTATATTACATTACATTATTTACATTATGTTGATTACAGCCTTCATTTTATATTTTATGCCTTATTATCTATCTTGTTAGTTACCTCATTTTTCTTTATTATCTTTAATTGATTATTTCACTGTTCAGTCATTCATTCATTCTCTCATTGTTTATTCGTTCTGACATAGTACTGCTTTTTGCTCTCACTCACGCCTTCTACCTTCTTTATTTTCCTTAATCTTTAATTTCCTTAATCGTTCCATTCATTCATTTATTATTTATTCATTATTCATTATTCATTCACTCATTCATTCTGATCAATTAAAGTTAATGGATATGATTTATATTACTTTATTTTACTTTATTTTAATTAAGTTTTGCTCTCTCTACAATGATAAGTGGTTTTGTCCATCCAAATGTTTTGATTGTGCGTGAATTTTATTATAATCTTATCATTCAAGTACTCTTATTTATTATATACTTATTTATTTATTCTATTTTATTTTATTTCATTTTATTCTTATTTCAGTTTATACACTGGTATAGTGTGTATTGAACTACGTACTTTACATTTGATTTCATTGTTGCTTTAGCTATTTTATTTTGATACATCATCCAATAATCAGTTCTATTTGCATTTGCATTGACATAATCATTTACCATTTATAATTTAGTTATAACCTACTTTTGGTGAGGAAATAGAGTGTCGTAGCTAATAATCTTTACGGTTATATTTCATTGAGTCACTTCTGGTACTTTGTATTCTATTTTAGTATATTTCATTTTGTTTTACATTATATTACATTACACTATTTACATTATGTTGATTACAGCCTTCATTTTATATTTTATGCCTTATTATCTATCTTGTTAGTTACCTCATCCTTCTTTATTATCTTTAATTGATTATTTCACCGTTCAGTCATTCATTCATTCTCTCATTGTTTATTCGTTCTGACATAGTACTGCTTTTTGCTCTCACTCACGCCTTCTACCTTCTTTATTTTCCTTAATCTTAATTTCCTTAATCGTTCCATTCATTCATTTATTATTATTCATTATTCATTATCCATTCACTCATTCATTCTGATCAATTAAAGTTAATGGATATGATTTATATTACTTTATTTTACTTTATTTTAATTAAGTTTTGCTCTCTCTACAATGATAAGTGGTTTTGTCCATCCAAATGTTTTGATTGTGCGTGAATTTTATTATAATCTTATCATCCAAGTACTCTTATTTATTATTTACTTATTTATTTATTTTATTTTTATTTCATTTCATTTTATTCTTATTTCAGTTTTATACACTGGTATAGTGTTTATTGAACTGCGTACTTTACATTGGATTTCATTGGTTGCCTTAGCTACTTTATTTTGATACGTCATCCAATAATCAGTTCTATTTGCATTTGCATTGACATAATCATTTACCATTTATAATTTAGTTTATAATCTACTTTGGTGAGGAAATAGAGTGTTGTAGCTAATAATCTTTACGGTTATATTTCATTGAATTCACTTCTTGTATTTTGTATTTTGTATTCAGTTTATTATTGCATTCTGTTTTACATTATATTGCATTACTTATATTACAGTGCATTACATTACATTATTTACATTAGGTTGGTTACGGCCTTCACTTTGACTTTATGCTTATTATTTATTATTTACCTCATTATGTACCTCATTCTTCTTTAACATCTTTAATTGATTATTTCACTGTTCAATCGTTCATTTTTTTCATTCTCTCATTGTTTATTCGTTCTGACACATTCCTGCTTTCTTGCTTTCACTTACGCCTTCTTACCTTCTTTATTTTCCTTAATCTTTAATTTCCTTAATCGTTCCATCCATTCATTCATTATTCATTATTCATTATTCATTATTCATTCACTCATTCACTCATTCATTCTGATCAATTAAAGTTAATGGATATGATTTATACTACTTTATTTTAATTAAGTTTTGCCTTCTCTACAATGATAAGTGGTTTTGTCCATCCAAATGCTTTGATTGTGCGTGAATTTTATTATAATCTTATCATTCAAGAACTCTTATTTATTTACTTATTTATTATTCTATTTTACTTTATTTCATTTAGTCTTATTTCAGTTTATACACTGGTATAGTGTTTATTGATCTGCGTACTTTATATTTGATTCATCTATTTGTTGCTTTAGCTACTCTATTTTGATATGTCATTCATTAATTAGTTCTATTTGCAGTTGTATTGACATGACCATTTATCATCTACCATTTACCAGTTACAGTCTAACTTATAATCTACTCTGGTAAAGAAATAGAGTATTGTAGTTAATAATCTTTACGGTTATATCTATTGAATTCACTTCTTGTATTTTGTATTTTGTATTCAGTTTATTATTGCATTCTGTTTTGCATTATATTGAATTACTTATATTACAGTGCATTACATTACATTATTTACATTAGGTTGGTTACGGCCCTCACTTTTACTTTATGCTTATTATTTATTATTTACCTCATTATTTACCTCATTCTTCTTAATATCTTTAATTGATTATTTCATTGTTCAGTCGTTCATTTCATGCTGTCATTGTTCATTCATTCTGAATTAAATTGAATCAAGGTAACTGTTAAGATTTAGTTTATTTTGACTCACGATGGTACAAAGTTCTGTAAATGGTATTAATATTAATATAATTATGGTTTGTTTGCATACAATTATTCTATATATATTTTCTATATTTTAATTTATTTGTGCCACGTATCACTGTCTACCATCATTTATTTTATTTATTTCTTGTCACCTCTATCCTTGGACATTCCTTGGACATTTTGACATTTTGATATTCTTCTCTGGTATTCTTTAATTCAATTTATTCAAGCTGTTTCTCTTCGATAATAGTATAGCTCTTTGATGACGGTGTGCTGTTCCTGTAGGAATTAATATTCATGTCATTAACTTGTGCTACTCTTGTTTAAATTTATTATGCGTTATTATAATCATTACCTTGTTTGTTTCTTTTCTCTTCTTTTCTTTTATATCTCCTTTCTGCTAGTTACCTGCTGCCTTGGTTGCTTTGATTCTACTTTGGTTACATTTATTTATTAACTGACTGGGTGTTACATGATTGGTCCTGCGTGACTTTCCTGACTATATGCGTTATCTGACGTTGTGAGATGGTTATATTTGATTTCGATTCTGTTTAGGTTGAATGTTTCATTCGTTTATTTATTCGGCCTTTCGTTCTGTGGCGGTTTCTTTGTTTCGTTGTTCTGCGTAGTTGTTTCCTGCGGCGCGATAGGCAGTAACATGATGCGTCCTGCAATCTGCGGATCTTATTCGGGTTGATTTCATTTCTTTCATTTCATTCTATCTTCATCATTGTTTATACTTAACATTTACTTCATCCTACACTATTGCAAACGTATGATCTATATATTTATAAATAATAAATGATAGCCGTGGTATTGTTTTATTAATTGATTTATTCTTGATTTTAATCCGTCTGGGGTTCTATTTGTTGCCCGTTTGCTTTTATAATTACTTTTCCCGTGAGTCGTGGTAATGTTTTATTAATTGATTTATTCTTGATTTTAATCCGTCTGGGGTCTTATTTGTCCGTTTATAATTACCTTTCCGTGAATAGTATTGGATATCGGACTTATCTTTTATGGTAAGTCTGATGGTAAGTATGGCTTCCTAGGATGGCGCGGTTGCGCGACGGATAGCTTAGCTGTCGGTAACTGTGATGTAGCAGATATCTGGCGCGCGGTGGGTAACTGCTGCGCGGCGGATAGTTGGTCGGTGAATAACCGTTACGGGATGAACGGCCGAGTATTGTATGGTAAATAAGTAGAATGCTTGTGGCCGATAATATTTGGCTGCCGGTGCTGCGGATGGTTACCAACTAAGGATAATTTGTAATTATTATCAACGGATAGTGTTGCGTACTTTACTTTATTTAGTGAGATACCGGAATGTTTTCCGCTATCGTTACCTTCCGTTACATTCTATTCCTGTTTGGTTTCGTTCACTGTAATTTATTGAAAGTGTTTTATTGATGTATTTAGTCGCGGCGCTTGTACGTTCCGTGTAATAATCAATTAATTAATTTGATAACTAATTTAATAGACAACAGACATAATGGGACGAACTGTAAATTTTACGAAATTCCTCGAAGGTTGCGCATCTATATGGCGTATGGTTTATGGCTTAAGCTTCACGCGGTTTCTTATCTTTGGTTGACATGATCATCGGCGGTACTGGTTTACTCCATCTCCGTGTGCCATATACTCGGTTGAGACATGGAGGAGGATCGTAAATTAATTGAATTGTTAAATTGCTGAGTTTTGATTAGGCCATTAATATTGAATATTGAATATCGGTGCGTGTGTGTTTGTGATTTGTGCGTGTACCCATTGCAATGAGTGGTGATATGTGCTATTGTGCTCCGTTTTCTGATATATTATATTTATTTATTTATATTTATTTATATATTTGTATATTTATATTTACATATTCATTATTATTATACTTATACATATTTTTATACTTATACTTATACCCAATTTGCATTTTACATATTATTTACAATAAATTCAGTTAGTATTGTGTAATATTGTGTAATATTTTGCATCATTATCTTTCTACTGCTAATTAATGAATAAAGTTAATTGACAGTTATATCTGAAACACTTGGTTGTCTTGTCGAGTGCTGAGTGTATTCATTTTATCTTACCGTACCTTCTTAATATTATGTCTGTTTAGGATAATATAATCTGCCTCATTGCATATTCAACGTAATGGATTTGTAAATTTATTTGATTTAGCCTCATTGGATGACTGCGTCTATGTGAGATGTATGAATGAGTGTATGGATATGCATGTTGGTGGAATGTACTTCAATGTATCTTGTTCTATTCTTTTATTTGTGTCAGTCACGTTCGTCTATATACTATACTTACACTTTCTTTACTTTCCTTACTCTCTCTATCTGCCTTTACTTGCCTTAACTTGATTAACTTCTGTAATAGCTCTATTGCTCACTCACTCATTCATTCATTCGCTTATTATCTACAATTATTTATTTAGAGTTATTTGGATTTAAGTACGGTTAATTTTCTTGAGAGGATAGATGATTTTGTCCATTCAAATGCTTGACAGCGCGTGGCTTCTGTTATAAGCACACCATTTGAATTTCATTTCAAATACCCTACTTCTTTGCTTATTTATTTATTTATCTGTTATTCCTTATTTTATTCTTTTACTATGTAATGGTGTGGTGTCTAATTGAACCACGCACCTTATATTTGATTTGTTTTTATTTGTCATATATTTATTATTTACTATCTTTATACATCAGTCGGTTATGAATTTTTACCTTCTATTTGCATTTGCATGGACATAATCATTTACAATTTATAATCTATAATTTATAAAGTAGTGGGGATGGAGTCAATAATGTTTACGGTCATATTTAATTAGAATATAACTCACTTGTTGTATTTATCTTATTTTCTTTTACATTATTTTGCATTATACTACATTATGTCAGCTATGTCTGTTAAGCGTTACACACTTTCATTTGCTGTAGTTCCTCAGTTTGTGAATATCTTCAGCTTTTCCTCTCGCATTCAGTATTCATTCATTCATTTATTATTCATTATTCATTTTGATGTTGCTGATTATAGTTATACATTGATTTGATCTGATTTATTTTGATTTATTTTCTGATTCATATTTCCTTTCTGCCAGTTGCTTGTTGCCTTGCTGCCTTGACTTTATTCTGGTTTTATTTATTCTGTTAACTAATATTATTTGACTGGGTGTTGTCTGAATGGTTCCATGGGTTTTCCTGACTATATGCGTTTCATATTGATTTTGCTTTGGTTTAGGGTCTTATTTTATTTATTTATTCGGCCTCTCATTTCTTGGCGGTTGTTTTCCTTTATCTTCATTGCCTTTTGTATAATTTCTTTCTTTGCGACGTGATCATGCAGTAACGCAGTGCGTCCTGCAATCTGCGCAATCTGCGGGACTTATTCGGGCTGATTTTATGATTTATTATTTTTTATTATTTTTCTAATTATCTTATTGACTTACATCGTGTCAGGCTACTTTATGCGTTTTAACTATAATTATATTCTATCTTATTTATTTTATCACAAACTTATATGATGTTTTATATAGGTAATGTATCTATAATCATAATATTGACTTATTTCTTTATATATTAATTAATTAATGCCTGATGTTGGCCCGTTTGAAGTTTATCTCTGATTCCATTGATTTAGCATAATTATCTTTTCGATTATAGTATTGGTATACCAGACTTATCTTTGATGGTAAGTCTGATGGTAAGTACGGTTTCCCAGGATTGCGCGGCAGCACGATGGACAGTTCTGCAGTCGGTAACTGTGTAACTGGTAATTGGCGCGTGGTAGGTGACTACTGCGCGGCAGATAATTTGCCTGTGGATAGCCGTTACGGAGTGAGCGGCCGAGTATCATTGTCTGGTAAACGGAATATTTGTTGCTGGTAATATCCTTGGTACTGCGGTTGATTACCAACTAGGCATAGCTTGCGGCTTATGGTCATCTTTTGTAGGTACATTATCTTTGGTTTTGGTCATTTTGATTCATTTTGATTTGTTCAAACTGTTTTGTTTATGCATTTTCGCTTTCGCTTATGAGCACTTATATATTCTCTATAATTACTTAATTACTTAATTGATGGTTTGATGGATAATTGACGATTGATAACCATTATGGAGTGAACTAGGGAATTTTATGAACACTAGGTTCTATCTCTATATGTTTTATACTTTATGGTCTCGCTCTCGCTCTTTTACTCGGCCCGGTTTTCAGTCTTAGGTAACATAGTTTTCGGTGACGCGTGTTTACTCTTCTCTTCTCCGGGCATTGTGCAAATTTGTGCATTATTTACTCGTCTGTGATCTGTGATGTGAAGTGATAACTAAATTAATTATTTAATTCTTCTATTTAAGTATAAATCAAAATTTAATTGGTGCGAAGGTGATTGTGGTGAAATGCGCGCTCCACCGCGATGCATTGTGTTCCATTGCAGTGTATGTGTTTCAAAGTGGTGCTATTTACTTCCGTTTTGTGCAAATTATAATATATTATATTATATTATTTATTTTATATTATGGCATATTTATATTCATTGTTTATTACATTCAATTACCTTCTATCTCCGTTCAATTCAATCTATGTATTGAATAAAGTATTGAATATGTTATATTACTATATTATCATATCAGATTTTGGATTATATTCAGTATTTCAGGTATTTCAGTTACATTAGGTTATACTTAGGCAGTTATTTTGCGCTACACTGTAAAACTGTACTGTATTGTATTATATAACTCCCTATCTTCTATTCACTATATTATTATAATTGAGTGAATAAACGAATGGGTGATTTAGCGGTGGATATGGTATAATTGAATAAATTAGGTTAAATTAATTAAATGACTTATAAGTGCTTGTTTTTAGTTTTATTTCACCGAACCTGCCGTATTTACATATTTACATTATTATGTGATGACATGTGTCTATATGCCTTAGTGTAGTTTAATTGGCTTTATTGCATGCTGAACATAATGGATTCAATGGAATTCACTAGAATCTATTAGAATTTGGTACAGTTTGGTTTATATGGATTGGTTGTTTGAATGCATATATTATGTACGTTTCATTGTGCTGCGTTACCTTCATATATATTTTAAGGACAGTTTGATCCTGCGTTTTCTGTTGCATTGTGTTATGAGATGACTTAGGTGTCACTACTATGCTGTGTCTTGGTTATATTAATATATTTAATCCATATACAAATTATACATTATAAATTTAAATTTACATTTACTTAGTCCAGGCTTTGACAATATTGCACTTTCCTACCCATTTTGATATGGTTCAGTTGTCAATAAGTAAGTGAGCGCAGCAATTTTCTTTATACTTTGACAGGAATTGTTGTTCCTGAAGGCGCCCTAATGGAATACTTTGTTTTCCTTCCTTTTAATTGATTGCCGGTTACTTCATTGCTTACTTACTTGGTTGTTACTCAATGCAGCAGAGCTCAACGCAGTGTTGGGTGGTTAATTTAGTTTGGGTGTTGATTATATGCTAATATTTACTATTATACTTCCCTAACTAACTTTCTTTTCTACTCTTTTCTATTCTCTCTGCTACAGCTGCTTGTTTTACCGCTCTCTTGCCAATGGCAATTTTACTTCTACATTATCTTACTCGT